AAATATTCCATTAATAACTAATTAACATCAATATAAGTTCATATAGCACAAAAAAAGCAGCATTCAGGCAGAAAACATCAGGAAAAAGAAATCATAAGGATCCTTAGCCTATATACTATCCTACGTTTTCTAACAGCTCATATATCACACAAAAAAATGCATCTCTCCTAAGCAGGCACTATAACCTAACTCATAATACGCATATCGTACTATAACACATATAACAACAAGTCAAATACAACATATAAAGCATGTATGGATACTTTAGGAAATCACTTTTGAGCTCCGATTGAATGTACACATCACATCTTCTCTTTTCTTCTCTTGAAAAATATATTCTCCAAAAAGGTTTAGCAAAACTCTCATCTCCATAGTTTGAGTTTGGAATCCCATGAGTGTTCATCCAAATCCCTAAAACAAGGGCTCTGATACCAACTTGTAACGTCCCATTTTGACAACCAAAAATTTTCATTTTTAATTAAGGTAAAACTGCTCATTTTCAAAACCCAAGTTAAGAAAACTAATTGTTTTAAAGTATATTGTTTAAAAAGCAGAGTATTATAGTAAACATGAAATCTTCATTGCTACTGATGAATGTGTATAGTCACACCTTCGCCTTCCCATGATCACCGATGATACCTAAAAACAATAACAGTTGGGTAATCACGAAGCTTAGTGAGTTCCCTCAAAATACCCCACACAACAAAAACATATATAAAACATGCATACTGGGTTTCTTGGCATGCTTCCTTAACCTAACCGCTCCCCGGGTTTGTTGGCCTGCTACCTCAACCTTATCGCTCCCCGGGTTTCTTGGCCTGCTGCCTCAACACAAATGTTGCAATATGTCGATATATAAATAATCAACAAATCAAGTAGGCACATAAATACCGGAAACTACCGATCATACAACTCACTACCGCCTACTAGACCCCTCATAACACACTACTCTCCTACCAACAAATTTCCATGGAATGCATAGCCACAATAACTACTCTAGCGATATTCTAACCAACATACCACTACTACTACATCCTAACACATAAGGATGTAAATATATCTAACATCTGCACTACTTGCACCCGCGAACCTTCTAATCACAAAAACATGGTAGAACCTTAATCAACAACCCAAATCCTTAAATTTTGACTTATATTCAAACTGGTCAAGAATTCGATGATAAAAAAAGTCAACGATCAGTAGGTCAACTGCCCCTTACGATGTGACAATCTATAGGTCATGTCATGAGCCACTAAAAACAAAATAGTCGCGGTACTTTGATCCTCACGATGTGACAAGTATATCCTCGCGTCGCGAGAACTGTTCGAATGACATTTTGATGAATAAAACCCCTTAATCCATTAAGCTACTAATCCACCTCCCCCATAAGGCTTCCTAACACCCCAAAAACCATAAAAATGATGCTTTAAGGTCTTGCGTGTTCAATGCAAGAATTGAGCTCCGATTTGGGCATTTATGAAGAAAAGGAGGTCAAAACCTCAAACATGAGCTCAAACATCACCCAAAGTTCAGATCCATAACATATATTCACTAAGGGACTCTAAGGACCCATAAAGTTGCTAACTTTATGGAGTCCTAACACTCTAACTCATCTAACCATGGATAATCATGCATAAAACCCTAGATCCATCAACAAGGAATCATAAGGCTTGAATCTTGTTTACTCACAAAGGTCCAAAGATGTTCTAGAAGATGCAAATGAAGCTTGCAAGCTGGATCTATACCCCAAAGATGAAGCCTTCTTCTTCAAGTCACCAAAACACCATTAAATGCTCAAGAACTCAAGGATAGGGCTAGGGTTTTGTTTGAAATGAAGGGAGGATGAAGAAGATACCCTAGATTATGAGATAAGTTCCTTAAATAGGGAGAAAACCCTAAAATTCGTGGGCTTGGGCTGTAATCAGCCTCACGATGTAAGCATTATATTTTCACATTGTGTAACGCCTGCGTTTCCAGGCTAGGCATTTTCGTTGATGTAATAGTCTAGGTTAACCTTTGTAACCCGTTTTGAAATAATAGAAGTGTATTATTTGAGTATTATGTGTTTTGTGCTTAATTGCTTAATTATGTGGTTTGATTAATTAAAAATTAAAATAAGCGTCAAATTTGAAGTGTGAGATAAGCCCGATATCTTTGCATAAAGATGTAGTGGTCGAAACAAGGATTCCGAAGATATAAAGAATGCCGAAATCCGAGTTATAACGAAGAAGTTATGACCTATCGAAGTTTCGCGACAGAACCGACAACGCTGAATGACGTAAAAAGTGAAATTTACGTTAGAGCGATAATTAGCCGACAGAGTCTAAACGAAAGTTGTAGAATGTAGTCTCACCTACGCGTGGATATAAAGCACCTCAAAAGCGGAGCTCGTATGCGAAAGTTACGCAAGTTTGAAGTTTGCTTAATAGCGTACGCCCAGCGTACCCGTGAACCGCCTCAGCTACGCATGCAATGACGTCACTTGGGCACATACGCATGCAATGACGTTGCGTACGCCCAACGTACATATATTACGCCCAGCGTAATCGAGGGTTCCAACCCCTATAAAAGGAAGTCGAGGCTGCCGAGTTTCTTTGCTCATTTCTTCCCTTTCTCTCGTGTTTTTTGCATTGTTTTGTGTACCAGAAGTGTCCCGAAGCCCTGATATTAATCCCGAGCCCCCGAAGCAAGTCCCGAGGTCCCGAAGATCTCGAGAAGTGCGATTCCCGAGCCGAAGCTCTGTCGGCGAGAAGTTCGATTTTTGTGAAGATCTTCCAGATCTACCGAAGAATACTACTTCTACAAGCCGTAGTGCTGTCCAATCATCTTTTGATCAAGTGAGTGTGTGGTTACTTTCTTCTAACGCATAATTATGAAGTATTTTATGCGAAATACGTGTTAATTGTATATTTTGTTGTGATGTGTGTGAATGTATATTCACTTTCTTCTATCTTATAGATCTGATTATTTCTCTATGAAATAAGTGTTATGTGTGTGTGCCTCATCTGTTATGTGGAAAATGTATTGATTGAGCATGCTATACAGGTTTTGAATCTATGTATAAAAATGTATGTTTTATCTACTAATATGTTGGGTAGAACATGGGTAGATAGTTGGTGTGTAATAAACAGATGAGAGGCCTCGATGTTGTTTTGATCCAGTCATCTAGTGGAATTTAGATGACGACCACGGACTTTTCTAGACAGTCCAGTGGAATGCTAGCAGACTCATAACCTGTAGGTGTTAATAAACTTGGGTGTTCATTCGCTGTATTCCATCCCCCTCATGGTTGCCTTATTTGACATATATTGCCGGGAAACCCCCGAATGCATGTGTTGTCACCCCGATGAAATATTCTAAGACTAGGTCCCTTGTGTTAGTTGTTTTAGGGACGTAAGGTGAGAATAACGAGAATGGGTAATCGGGTTATTGTTGGTTGGTGGAAATTAAATATAATTATTTATTGTGGGTTGAAAACCCTATATGCTCACCAGGCTCCCAAGCTTGACCCACTCAGTTTTATTTGTATTACAGGAAGTGGCGCAAGGGCATAAGATGGATGAACCATCAAGTTGTTTTGTTTACAAGTCTGTATATGTATATATTTGTTGAATGACTTGTAATGTTATCGTTTATGCTTTATGGTCTGTATCGGACATGACATCCCGAGTTTTGATAATATAATGAAAATACATTTCTTTTATGAAATGCTTTGGTAAACATTGTTTTATCACGTTTTGTTTTTGGGAACAAATTCCGCAACTCTTTCAAATCAAAAGGATTTACCCTGAAATTATTTTAAAAGCATAAATGAAAGTTGGTCTTTTCTGACCGAGATTTTGGGGATGTCACACATTGTGACTCTCATTTCCACGTGTCACGTTGTGATCGTTACGTCGTGACACCCATTTTCCCCATAAGTCATGAGTTGACTCTTTGATGCCTTGCATTGGTTCGTTTTTGAACTGGATGTTACAAGGAGGGTCAAATTTCATATTGACTATTCCAACTCGTGGTATATGGTTCATATTATACCCAAAACCGTTCAAATGAACAACAAAAATATATGTTATTTGATTTTTCTTTTTTACAATTCAAGTTTGTTACATTTTTTTGAACGACAAACTAATCTACCCTTATATTTAGTTTGACCTCAAATAATAAATGTTTTTACATATAAGAGGTCCAACATAAATAAATAAGGTTAAGTTAAAGTTACAAACAATGTCTCTAACTTAAACTTTTAACACTTTAACCTTATCCCTTTTAATAATAATATGAAACAAATTGTAATTATTTCGTTACAACTAAAGAAAAGTTTACTACTATGGGAAATACTCATATTAAATGGATATAAATTTATGTCAAATTTATATATACATCCAGAAAAACATACTTATTTAAGGTTTTTAAATATGCGATAGAGACCATTAAACCATCGATAATGGTCTCCAAATTTTAGCCTCGGTGACAAGAACATCACCACCACCATGACCTACTTTCCTCCTCATTTGGCTCCCTAAAATTGTCCATATCCGAGCAATCATTTTGGTTCAAAAATTGTTTGTAGAATTGTATATTTGTCAACAAGGTGGTTCAAAAAGTTGTAATACAAGAAGGAAATAGTTTTTGTTTTACGTTCAATGACTTACTAGATATAAAAATTATTCGAAAATCTATGAAGTACAAAGTAACTTGATTTTAATAGAGCCAAAGCGTCACAAAAATTAACCAAAAACAATGGAGATGCGGGGTATCGAACCCCGTACCTCTCGCATGCAAAGCGAGCGCTCTACCATGTGAGCTACATCCCCTTTATGTTAAAATTTATGACAAAAGTATAAAAAACCTAACTTTTGAATCAAAACAAACCATTTGCTACTTTTGGGAGTAGTGTATGTAAACTTTTCATTTTGACAATTAAATATTCATTGTTTTGATCGCCCAAAACTAAAATTCAAGGCTGTCCTCTTGTAAGCGTCGCCTTTCTTACATACCCACTCTTTATAAATTATCCCCCACCTCTTTCCCTTTTCAATACCTTCAACAAAGAATCAAATCCATTAATTCTTCATTCTTCCAGTTCCCATGGCTTCCCTTCTTTCAACTTCAGCTACTCCTTCATCCGCCCTTCTTCTTCCCACAACTCCCCGAATCCAATGCACCCAATTCGCCAGCGTCTCCATGATCTCTGTAACTTAATTTCTGGGTTCTATTCTATTCAATTTTAATTTCAATCCTTATTGATTCCATCTGTTCTGAAACTTGTTTGTTGCAGGGTGGACAAAGACTTGTGATCTTGAAGGCAGAGAAAAGATCATCACCACTTTCTCACTGCTTAAAGACCACCATTTCATGCTCCATTGTAAGATTAAGAAAACTTAAATCTTATTTGTTCTTTCTCATTTGTTAATGGAAAGGAATAATCATCGTCATCTTCTACCCACAGGCTCAACCAGAGACACTGAAAATAGTGCAGGCCACCATTGCTAATCAGTTGTCGATTGATGAGAGCACAGTCGCTCCTGCAACTAAATTCGCCGATCTTGGTGCTGATTCTCTCGACACTGTAAGTTTTGTTTTGATTCGAAGTTAACGAATCATAACTCAAACAACTAATCATCGATCTTATATAAGTATATAACTCAATCGATATAACATTCAACAGGTTGAGATTATGATGGCTTTGGAAGAGAAGTTTGGAGTGTCAATCGGCGAAAGTGGAGCTGAAAACATTTCGACTGTTCAAGATGCTGCTGATCTGATCGAGAAAGTGAAGACAGATGCTTAAGCTTTTAAACTCAACACCTATATATATGATCAGATATATATATATAACCAAATTTGCTTGGTTTCTTTCCTTTCTGATGATTTTTGCGGGTTTGTAATTCGTTTCTGACGATGTCGTACTAATAAATTTCCATTTTGCTGAAAACATCAGCGTGAAACTTTCTTGCATGCATGGATATTATACAAACATATGGAAGCATCAAACATGTTAATCAGAAGTCATAATAATTTTATTAGTCAATAGTCATTACACCACATTTTACAAACCAACTTCAGCATATATAACCTTAATTCATATGTACACAAAAGAAAAAAAGAAAAAAAAAAAAAAAAAAACAAAACAAAAGGAAATCATCCGCCACATCGATCATATATATCATGGGCTGCGATATAAATATACTACAATTATACCTAATATGTACAGATTTTTATATAAGGGATTTGGGAAAAGTTTTTTTTTTTTTTTTTAATTTTTAATATAATATATATACATATAGACATTTTCTCATGGAAGCCGAAACTCATCGATTTCGTATATTTCAACGATCCAATGCACTCAAAACAATCCTGCAATCATACCCATGAAGAAACAAAAAGATTAACCTTTCTGAATCCAATATCATGATTAATGTTAGAGATATAATTAATCATATACCAATCATAACCCGTAGGATGTTTTGTCCTCGAAGAATGCGTGCCGCCGGCAGTTGACTTTGCTCGGGTCAATTTCTTGATATTCCCGCCAGGACTTGTTGCTGATGAACAAAGCAAGAAAACGAAACTCAGAGATACATGAATTGATGTGTGTGAATGTGTGTGTGTAATGGTTGCAGGGCTTACGTGAGAATGGTGAGCCGGGGGTGACGGGGGTGGAGGGAGAAGAGGGGGAGGATCCTGAATCAGAAGAGGCGGAGAGGCTGTTGCTTCGGAGGATGGTGATGCTGCGGGAAACCGGAGAGATATCGTCGGAGTTTGAAGGATCGATATTGGTGCCGGAACGGACGCGGAGAGACTTGTATTTGCGAAGTTTTCCGATGCCGGAGTCAGGGGTGGGGCCGGCGAGCGTTTCGTCCCAGAGATTATGGAGAAAACCCATGATTGATTTGAAGAATTATTGTTATAATTAATTAGGTTACGTACTAATCAACTACAATGTACAAACTAATATGTATTGTTCTTCGTATCTTTCCTGTAACAACCCGAATTAGGTGCGTTTCCTTTAATTATGGAAGGGAAGACGGCGGAGAGCGGTGGCGCCACCCGAATACGACTGTTACAAAAAGTGGAAGCGTTTATTATTATTATTAATATCTAAACAGAAATTAGATTTATTTCCGGACGAATGGAAGTAATGGAGTATTTATAGATGTAATGGGAAGAGAGAAAGATGGTGAGAGGAGGAGGATGAAGGATGCGATTCGATGGCTCAAATGAGGCAGTTGTTTGCTTATTTTGTTTGGTACAAAATAATTGTATAGGCAACAACCATAAATGATACATGAAGCAAGTTATGAGACAAATATGTCATTGTTAAGCCCAAATAGAATCCAATCCAATGTTACTCTTGGGCTCCCAAGCATCTAGATCTAGAGTGTTCATATCTATTTATTTTCGGAAAACAATTTTAAACCCGATCCAATTTGATCTAGGAAGCGATTTGGTTAAAAATAGTTCGGTTTGAAATTGATTTGGCGGTTTATATCGGTTTATTGGTTTGAAGATTTTACCATTAAAATCAGTTTGAAAACTTGTAAAAAACCGATTTTCATAAATATTTATTTTCACCTATTACTTATTCAAGATTTTGTTCATTCAAAGTTTCTAGGGTTTTTCATGTATGTTGGGAAAATAATTTTTTTAGAAATTAGAAGTTAAAAAAAATTCCGTTTTGAATCGGTAACGGTCTAGAAGTTTGGAGCTACCGATTTTCCTAAAAAATCATGTACTTTTTCTTTGCATTTTCTTCATCTATATATGACTATTCTTGAGGCTTATAGAAGCAAGCCAATTCTGTTGCCACTGGGTATGAAAAAAACCTTTGTTGTTTAGGCCTAGGAATCAAAAAACATATATCAGAGTTAAGAAGTGAGCAAACCCTTTTCACCGTTACTATATAAAGCTAGTGAATACTTGTTCATTTCTTTAAAGCGTAAGTATTATAAAGAACTTTAGAACACAAGAAAAAAAAATGTAAAATAGCCGAAATGAAAAATATCAATGAACAAAACACAAGAATAACTAGAGATAAGCCACAAAAACCATGTACAACTCTCTAGCCACTCGAGGCTATAAATCTGTAAGACCTCCGGTCAATGTGTCTCAGTGGGACCCACCAGTCCCACAATTCTGATAGACCCTCCATTCCTAACTCTGTTACTCATAATAATACATGACATAGATCATACTTAAAAAGATAATGTAATTTGACCACTTCACTCATTTTATAACTACAAGCCAATTTATTTGTAACAACGTAAATTTTCAAACCACATTTTTTTTGATTTAAAAATAAACACAATTATCTCAATAATAAAATCAAAAAGATGTCACAATGTCAAATCATCAAATCTCATATCCAAAAAAAAACTGTATATATAGCAAAACTCCAGGATCCTCCCAATCGTTGTTGTGTGTACAATCAAGTCGGCGCCTTCCCGTGATCCTGAGAAGTACCTGAAACACATAACACATAACACGGTAAGCATGAAGCTTAGTGAGTTTCCCAAAATACCACATACAACTGTTTAGCCACCCAAGGCTATAACTCTTTAAGACCCTCCGGTCAATGTGTCTCAGTGGGACCCTCCAGTCCTACAACTCTGATGGACCCTCCAGTCCTAACTCTTTGGCCCCTTCGGTCCTAACTTTGTGGACTATCCCGTCCTAATTCTGTAACTCATAATAATACATGGCATAGATCATACAATGCATGATATCACATTACTCAAATAAACATATAAGACCCTTCGGTCACACACAACTCATATTACCACTCTAGGTATGTCTAGTGAGAAGACACACCTCGTAAGCTAGCAAGTAAAAGTCTCGTACTTGAAAATCTCGAACTAGCCTCCGCCTAACACATAGGACAATCATCTGTAATTAATACTCTAATCATACTCAAATACACCAAAGGTTGTTCTCTCTTTCTCTCTAACTCTTGGAATGGGTAAAATCCCATTTTACCCCTCCTTGGTCCCCATAACTCATGTTGACCAAACCCTAAAGTCAACAGAATTCAACTCGAGTCAAAAGTCCAAGTTTGACCTGACTCGCCGAGTGCACTCATACAACTCTTCGAGTCCACTCATTCCTCATAAGTCTCGTGAAGGTCTAGCTCGTTGAGTTAACCCCCAACTCGTTGAACTATCACATGGTCCAGCTCATTGGGACAAATCCTAACCGACTCGTCGAGTCAGTTCATGGACTCGGCAAGTCCCTTCAATTTGATTTCTCATCCAAACAATTTAAGGCAAATCTATCACCCCAAACACTAGATCTACCATCCTAAGGCTCGAATGTCATGTAAAGCTTTGATCTTTACACTCATGCATGGTGGTTTTGCTCCAATCTACCAATACATGTTCTCACAATGGTGTTAAACACCATAGTCCTCACATGGATAAATAAAGTTTGGACTTTTGTGCTCTAGGGACCTCACAAGGTCTATATCTGTGGTTTCAACCTCTTGATAACTTAGTATTCTCGAAGTACCAAATAAGATGTGATGAAAACCCTAACTTCTCAAACTCATGGGATCTAACCATAATTATATAGCAAGGTATTGATTTTAAAGAGTAAGTTCTGAATTGGTTTTGTAAGTATATATGAAGGCAAGGGCTAAATCATAACTACTGGAACTTCATTGGAAGAGATTTTTGGGCTAAGGGGCTCTTTGGTAAATTAGGGATTGAATTTGGGTGTAGTTATGGAAGCAGGGGTGAAATTGGTAAATATTGGACCTAAATTGTGATGGATTCTAATATTGAGGGTTTATTTGGTAAATATCGGATAAATGTTGTAAGAAAATGTTATGGGAGGGGCCATTTATGCCATTATGGCATTAATTTTCCTAGGGCACGAGTATCAATCCCATACAAACCCTAACCCTAATAGAATACCCTCCAGCCATCACCCGTTATGCCTCCCACCAGTCCTGCCTTCCCTTCCATTTTCCGGCGTTATCACCATCGTGTCGAGGTCGCTAGCCACCAAGCTAGGTGCCATTGTCACCCTTTTTCTGTTGTGACTGGATATGAAGACCGGTGGAGGGCTTTGTGCAATCAGACGTGGAGAGGGCCAAGTCGCAACCACCATACTGATGTGGTTGTTGCTGCTGGAATATGCGCCCACCACCACACTTCCTCACCTTCCTTGCTAGAGAAATGGTCTGTGGAGGATCCATTGCCCTCGGTTGAAATCCGCTGCCACCAGTTCTTATTTTTCTCTTCTTTCTGCTAGCCCCGCCTGCCGTTACACCATCGCTGCCACTATCTCCGGCCAATACCATCGTTGTGCGTTTCTATGAAAATAAAGGGTTGCCAGTTCTCGTGGATAGTTTAGTTGAAGGTGTTGTGGTGTTCGTGGGTTGTTGTCCTACCGTGAACTGCTGCCACATGCCAAGGTCATCAGTGGCTCCGCCGCTACTGCCTCAGTTTTGTGCTTCTACCGTCGCCAACCATCACTAGGAGGGTGGTTGGATCTTCTTTCAAGCTAGAAAGCATATGGGTGCTTGTTTTGCTGTAGTATGTGTTATGTGTGTAACTTGTTTGGCTGGAAAACCTAGAACAGCCACTAACACCACTAGCCATCACCGGGCACCACAAGGTGGTTATGTGTGTGTGTGTATGTGTGTGTTTAGCTTAGTTGTGTGAGTTATTTTGGAGATTAGCACTATAAAATGTAATTAGAAATGTGAATAATGAAAAGAAACCGTAACCACCACTGTGAAATGGTGTCTGCCACATCCTGCCGTCACCAGTCGCCGTGTTAGGTGCCGGTGTGTTTTGCCTTGTTGTGTTTGATTCGGTTGGGTGCTTGAAACCCTAATGGGCCCAATGAAGCCCTAATAGGTCTAGTAAACCCTAATGGGCTTAAGGACTTGTTTTTGGGCCTATTGG